TCTGTCATGTCAAGCCAAGTCGGTAATTAAGTAACTCATGTCAAGCCAACAAATAGTTATATATAACCGACATGTGCTTACTTGAGGTGCTCTTCATTCTTGAGGTTGACTCTTGAGGTTGACATGAATTACTTACAGACTAGGCTCTGTGAACTTAAGAATAGCTAAGGGGCTCCTGTCTTTCGATTTTAGTTCACATTACCCACATTCGTAGTAGTTTCTATACTGTTTACAGTCAGCCTGATATTTCAGACGTCTCCTCGAGTCGCAAGAGGAGTTTGCGACTCGTGGAGACGGCTGAAATTCAAGCTAGTTTACAGTCCTCTCTTTTTTCCCGCCTGGTTTAGGATGGCGATCACCGCTGTGATTTAATTTGGACATCCCCTGTGACTTTGCATTTTTTTCCACTCTCTGTGCTGAAACGCTGTTCCCCCCCGCCCCATATTTCGAGCCCAAGCCTAATTTATCGAAGACACTTAAAGGTTTGCTAATGAGACTTGTTATTTTTGAAAACACTATTTTCCAGTTAAATTCACTGAATATTACAGTATCCGTTTGTTACGTGTCAGGGTCAAAGGTGAATAAATAATAAATAAAAATAAATGAATGAATGACGATTTGCAGGTAGTACATCCACATAGTGCTTCTTCGTCTACCTGATTCCTGGTCGAATTGGAATTTGGAAAATGTTGGTTTTTGAGGAGAGGGGAAAACCGGAGTACCCGGAGAAAAGCTTCTCGGAGCAAGGGAGAGAACCAACGACAAACTCAACCCACATATGGTGTCGACGCCGGTATTTGAACCCGGGCCACACTGGTGGGAGGCGAGTGCTCTCACCACTGCGCCACCCTTTCTCCCCATAGAAAGGAAAGGAGCCGTCCGTCTTTGTTTGCTTGTTTTTTTGTTCCACCTTGCTAAATATATCATCATCTCGGAGCATTTGGTTCCGTCTTGTCAGTGTCCTGTCTGGGGTCTGAAACGGGCATAGGAAGTCTGTATGGATCTCCATGATCACGGGAATCACAACAGCCCCTCCCATAAAAGTTGTAGTTCCACACACACACGTTAGCGAACCACTCGAATTGGTACCAACTTCGCTCTCACCAGTTTAGTCGTCAGAGGATACCCAAATCACTTTGACAGCGGCGATCGCAATCTTCAACTTGGCGGAGGAAAATAAGGGTCTGTGATCTGGATTGAATTTCAGCCATCTCCTCGAGTCGCAAACTTCACTTGCGACTCGGGGGAGGTGGGGGACGGATACAATTCAGCGTCTGACAATTCAGGCTAACTGATAACAGTTAGAAACTACCGCTGCGCTACCATTGCCACTGCCACTGCAACTGATTCACGGCGAATCGAACAAGTCAGTATCCGAAAGTTAATACAGATAGATTCAAGAACTCTTACATTAATCGCTTAATTTTCAATTACAATTTAGCTATGTGAGTGTATTTTTTTTTTTATTGTAAATAACTTAAATATATATACTTTTACTCAAATATTGTAACATAAGATATGTATTTTTTATCTTGTGTGGAAATAAAGACTATTATTATTATTATTATTAATGTGAATCTTATCTACTAAAGTCCAAAGAGACGAGCCCCTAAGCTCTTCTTAGGATGGCAAAGCCGTAAATGGATAACCGCGCAACCGATAAACCGCATGGCAAACAATTACGAGGGGTGGCTGTGTGAGGAAAGCTTGAAACCCCCCCTCCTCGCGACCCATATTATAATTTGATTTTAGAAGCAAACCGTCACTCATTACTGTCATTTGCATGGACCCTCGCCCCACAAATTATCTGCGATAAAATATTGTTTTCTCACACCCAGAGATGATTCGAGTTTCTTTTTCTTTATTTCTGTCTTTTTCGGTTTTTTGTTATTTTACGGTATTTATTAATTTTTACAAAAATTATTATTATTATTATTATTATTATTATTATTATTATTATTATTATTATTATCAGTCCGGAATATCCCTAAATTTAAGGACAGGGCCAGCTGGTCACGCGACACTTTTCAACCAATGAGAAGGCGCCCTTGTGTTTATCAACAAACAAATCAAAACATCGCCTGCTCAAAAATTTTCAAAACAACGGACGGAGTCGACGGACAGAATTAAAGATGAGCTTACAGTACTCGTCTAGGTTTCGCATTTAATATTTCAAAGAAAACATTTCATGTAAGAGAATAAGAGCATTATTCATTGCAAGGAATCATTGGGGTGTTCGAACTGATTCCGGACCGATCGCAGTGGTCGTGGCTTCACTGGCATGGCTTGCAAGATTTTTAATAGAAACAAACTGGTCCCGTGTAAAAATAGCCTTATAGAGAGAGTGTGAAAATTTGTTGAGATCATACAAAACAGGATTGGTACTACCTATTAGCTTCTACAGGACAACAATCAAAGAACCAGTCATCATAACAAGAATAAAATAAAAAGTAGTTCAAATTTATTAATTTTTCTTGTTTGTTTTTTGGTGTTGTTTCGTGTTGACTTCACGCATCTGGTGCTTTCCTTGCTTGCTGTAGTACCTGCAATGTTTTAATTTGATCCCAGATTCAGTGCATGTTCAATGAGTAGCGAAATACATCATTTACACATGAAATTTGCCTTCTTTCTTTGATTGTTTTTTAACAGTGGATGAACATTTGGAGAATCCAGCAACATTAAATCTTTCCAGATTTGGTGAATTTCAGAAACAAAGCGGTTAGTATCTACCTTGCGCTTATGATCTTCAATTTCATCCCCAAAAATTCGGCAAAGTGAGGCGAGATGTTGGACGTGAATATCCATAAGACTAATAAAGTTGTTTTGGCCTTGAAAAGAAAAAAGGCAAAGGCTCGTACTAATCCGAAAAAAAGTAATTACACGGCTCTGCGAGAAACCCGGGAATGGAAAACGTACGTGTTTTCATGGACCCCGGAATTCAAAATTGGTCTTCCAAAATTCTAGGTTGTCTACCATCCCCACATTCAACATGATAAAAGTTAATCGATATGACAATAAAGGAAAAATATCTAGAACTTCGTAAAAAAAATCTGTGAATCGAAAAAATAATAGATACTTGTTCACCTACCTTGAAAACCGACCAAAATCTCGCACATACATCGCGTTGTCCACAAAATGTGCTGAATATTTCACGAGACACTTCCAATATGGCTTCCGATACGCTGTCCTCTTAAAAAAATTGTGTATGCCTCATGAAAAGTCTTAAAAATATGCCTGAGAGCCTCGAAACGATGACTGATTCTGTCCGACTCCGTCTGCTGTTTTGAAAATATTTTATCATAGCGGCGATGTTTTGATTTGTTTGTTGATAAACACAAGCGCGCCTTCTCACTGGTTGAAAAGTGCCGCATGACCAGTCGGCCCTGTCCTTAAATTTAGGGATATTCCGGACTGTATAACGGTTAACATTGTCGTTTCCAGTTTATATTACTTAAAAAAATGTTAAACCTGTGATAGACTCAGCTGTATTGCATTGAACGACGCGGCTTATGGTCTTTCCTAGGAACGTTGGTTTCCGTCGGTGTTATTTAGTGTCAACACGTCACGATAGACCGAAACCTAACCGGAACTCGGCTGCGGCTACGAAAAAACCGAAATAAAACACAGGCGGCCCAAACTCACGTTGCGAGAAACGGTTGTAATGCAATTTACATAACATAGGTGACGCGCCGGTGTCGCGTTACAGGCGACCGTTGAAAATATAAGAGACTTTGTATGAGAAATATATTACTGAGATCTGCGAACGCTAAATAGCGCTAAACCTTACTTTTTCTTAAATGAAATGAATAAAAAAGTCTTACCTGCAATCTATTCCACTGCGTTTTGGTGTCTGTTTGTCGTTTTACCGCTGTTACTCCTTTCATAGAACGAACGTTCTATAGTAACAGCGGTCACGCAATAAAGCCAAAAAAACAGTAAAACGAAAAAGACTACCGGGAGAAACTTTCGCGCTGTCTGCTCGAGAAGCACGCTCATGTGTTAGGAGACAAACAGTGGGATTATGATAACACTATTGCAGAGCTTGCTCGAGCGGAATTATTATTATTATTAACGGATTTTTACCCTAAAAAGGTCACCTAGAATTTTCGGGAGCTTTCTTTCTGGCTGGAATTTTCTTAAAGGTAAGTTTTGATCCCTATAATTTTCGGATCACCAGAAGTTCAGCGAGGAAATCCTGATTCGAACAGATGAAAAATTCTTAGAAGATAAAAATATGCCTATATCTACCGTTTAAATACTAAAATACGTTTAACAATGCTATGTATAAGTAGTTTTGAACTATATTCTCGTTGGTTGCCCCTGAATAAACTGTTCCTCACTTTAAGGAAACACTAAAAACCTATTACAAAGTCATTCATCGAATTGAAAAATAATGTGACCTATTATATATGTGTGTGTGATCAGTGTATTGAAACAACGTGTACGCATTGAAAAACATATACTCTGTGCCTTGAACTACTCGATGGGCTTTTCTTTTGTGATGAATGTCTGAATAAAATCACTAGCATCAAGCGTATTGCCTAATTTTTGTACTTTGTATTTGGATCTATTTTTTAGGTCCGAACATGAAATCTTATTTATTGTATACAAAATATATATGGAAGATTATACCCGTCTTTTATCTCAGCAGGAGTCTCTTTCTGGAGGCACTAGTTTAATAACTATGTATATTCCTCCAAATGTTGAGTAAGCCTTAGTAAACAAAAGTTGACCAATGAAATGGGCCTTGTCTCAAATATTAAGTCAAAAGTCGTACAAAAGCACATGAAAACCGCTCTAAAATCAGCATTATAGCAATTAAACCAGCTAAAAGAACCAAGAATTTCATGCCGTGGGTTGTTACTACTATCTGGCATCATAACAAATACTTGTGAAGGATACAAAAGATCAGTACTCATTGAGCCTGAGCAAGCAATAGAAAAAACTGATTATAAATGCGGCAAGAGCTTTTATTTGGATCCTATTTTAGATACTTATAAAAAAAAATAATTGAAAATCCAATAGTTGATAAAATATTGGATATAATTGCAAAAGCAAATATAGACAGGTTGGATTTTGGACTAAAAAAAATAACCAATAATCATTCCCATGTTGTATTCACAAATGTAATTATAAATCTGGGCACTTGAAGGACACCACCTCTTAGGTCTTCATTTATTTTCGATTCCCTTGTTTTTCTGTAGACATTATTTTGTTCCTCAAATGCCAGTCATTCCTGGTCTGGAGTCTTTCCCTGGGCTCGTTATGCACAGTCATGATTATCGGCATCCTGAAGTCTTTCAAGGAAAACATCTGGTTATCCTTGGTGCTGCCTCTTCTGGCCAAGACATTTGTCTTCACGCAGCTAACCATGCTGAAAAAGTCTACCTCAGCCATAAAAACACACTCTGCTGTAAACTTCCAGAAAACGTGGAACAACACAGGCCGATAAAGTCTGTATCGGAGGATGGAACAGTCCTGTTTGAGGATGGGCAAGAGAGGAAAGTTTGCGCCATCTTACTTTGCACTGGTTACAATTTTTCTTTCCCTTTCCTGCATGATGATTGTCGCATTCAAGTTCGGAACAATAGAGTAACTCATTTGTATAAACACCTTTTCAATACAAAATACCCAACGATGTCTTTCATTGGACTTGGACTTAAAATCTGTCCATTTCCACAATTCAGTCTGCAAGCCCAGTGTATTGTCGCAGTTTTGAGCGAACGCAAGAAGTTGCCAGCTGAAGAAGAAATGAATGCTGATGAAGAAAAAGACTACCGGGAGAAACTTTCGAGCTGTCTGCTCGAGAAACCAGGGGCACCCAACGAGAATATAGTTCAAAACCACTTAAACATAGCATTGTTAAACGTGCTTTAGTATTTAAACGGTGGATATGGGCATATTTTTATCCCCTATAAATTTTTCATCTGTTCGGATTTCCTAGCTGAAAATCTAGTGATCCGAAAATTATAGAGATCAAAACTTACCTGTTCGAATATTTCAGCCAGGAAAAAGGCTCCCGAAAATTCTAGGTGACCAGTTTTAGGGTAAAAATCCGTTAAAAATGGGCAATTTTACCATTTCTTAGATGTTCGAAAATCCTAGGAGAGGCAGGTAAGCAATCAATTTTACAACAAATGTTCCGAAAATTCTAGATCTCAAATTGTCTTCCGAACAGATATTTTTCCGAAAATTGTCGTTGGGTGCCCCTGAGAAGCACGCTCATGTGTTAGGAGACAAACAGTGGGATTATGATAACACTATTGCAGAGCTTGCTGGAGCGGAATTATTAAGCACAGTTTATGAGGATCTGTATAATCATGTTTGCCACAGGAGGAAAAATTGTCTTATGGATTATAAGAGCGACGAGTTTCAGTTTACCACTGATGGCACGTGGGCATCAGTTCAGCGACAATAGAATTTATGGTACATAAGCAATTGCATCTCCTCCCTCTCCCCATCCCTTCAACTTTGGGAGAGTGGAACGATAAACAAGCTCTCCATTTGCAGACTTTTGCAAAGTCCCTCACTCCTCTTCCTCGCACTTTATCATCGCGCTTGCCTCTCGTTTCTCCCGCCTCGCTTACAGTTTTTACGCCTCTCACTGGGCTTTTGCAGCGTGACGTGGGACCTGCAACGTGTAGGCAAGTCTTGCTCTCCATTTGAGAATCACGAGGGCTCACGCGCGCGCGGGCGGCGAGTGAAGCATGGCACGAGCTCTCTCATGGCTAATTTCGCCCACCGCTTGGACACTATGACTACGTTTGGTGATTTCCCCCCATTTCGACGCGCGAGCTAAGCCAGCCTCGTTCCCAGGATTTTTTCTACACACAAGTTGGAGAGAACCCTAGGAACGAGTTTGTATCCAAGCGTCTCCTTTCGCTGGTACTCGGGTGTGCCTTTTCACTATATCCCCCAAATGGAAAGCTTGCTTTAGAGCTACAACCAGTTGCAATAATGTTAAGACACTGCCACGAAAACACGACCTTTCTTGCTTCAAATCGCTACTAGTCACAGGTCTGTGAGATATAGTACTGACCTCCCTCCCGGCCCTTCCTTTCAAAGTTGTTTTTTCCCAGTTTGGAGCATGATCTTGTAATTCTAGAAACTTTAATAAACGGTGGAGGGGGATCACAAGCAAAAGATCATGGATAGGCCATTTAAGCCAAAATACGGTACAATGTCTCAAGTACTTTGGCAACTGGTTGTCGCATTAAAGTCTTAGTTCCAAAACGAAGACTATAGCGACATAAATGAATAGAATGGCACTTTCTGTTGTTTTTCCCAGCTGCTACATCATTGTCATTGATAGAAAACTGCATTAAAAAGCTCTTATGAATGTAGTGACTTCTAAACTTTGCCTCAGTTTTATTGTAACGCAGTGCTGTTATGTACTGTGACATGGCTTAAAGTCACAGGGGTTGTGATTAAACTCTGAGAAGTGTGAATGCATAATATCAGCAGTATTTTCCTTTTCTTGGTATTTAGAGATATTATAGTTGCGAATAAAGCTCTCAAACCTTCATTTTCACCCCCTGTATCTGTAACGCAATCAATGATATTTGCTATGCAATGGCGTCATGTAATCGATATACCGCGTGACTTACTTTTATAAAGCGCTGAAAAAGTACAACCGTTCAGGTTTTTTTCATCTACTACATTTTCTGACAGTCTACCATTAATCCACAGTCTACCATTCCGCAACAGTAAGAAATATGATTTGTCATTATATTTATCTCATATGATGGTAGCCTCCCACGCAGGCGATTTAAGGGGAGCTCGTATTTCTTCCCTCCCCACGAGGGACGAAATACGAGCTTCCCTAAAAACGCCTGCGTGGGAGGCTAATATGATGGTAGAACGTATAAACCGTTCCTTGCGTTGCTATTCTCGGGGCAGTGACTTCTTTTTTTCCAAAAAAATAATTTTCGTTACCAAATGCAGAATACAAAACCACGTTATATGCAGGTTTTTACTGTATATGTTGCTTTTCTGGAAGAAGAAGAAAATGTGAAATTCTTACATTAATAGAGAGTTTAAGCTTCACGTATAAGGCAAACGTCGTTATGTTCAAGTTGAGAATTTCTCAAAATAGAACCAAGCAGATAAAAACCGCTCAGAAACTCTTTTACTTGTCTTACGGGTAAAGAATTGCGTGAGACCAGCCTCGTTCCCAGTCGTCCTTGGCGATTTCGGATGTGACGTCACCTGTCAAGCTTGTCGGGAAAATTCGCCTAGGACGCCTGGCAAATAATGGCAAATCCAAAATGGCGGCGTTAAGCCAAGAATGCGACTTCAGCCAAGATTCTTGAAGAAATGGAAAAAAGCGTCGGAAATAGGTTGGGATTCTTTAATCAACGTTTGCCATCAAATACATAGAGATGTTGGAGAAATTTCTTTCGAGGAATCGTTCCGCGTGTACACCTGTTATTATCGTAGGTCAGTAATTTCGAGTTTTGATTGTATCAAAAAATATGGATTTAATTCAGCCCAACAAATAGTCCCATCTCAGGAGTGTGTTCCATTGCCTGTCGGGAATGAGTTAAACCATGTTGAAGTTCGTGAAAGATGTGTCATCGAATTAGCTCTGTACTCAGCATATTATCTAGCGGATGAAAAACTTGTTAATCGAATCGCAGCACTGCGCGCATTGCAGTTCAAGAGAGACTTCTAGCCTAGGTGTCGTCCTAAACGACAGTGGATCAACTCATAGACGCTGCTTTTTTCCATTAAATATACAAAACAGAAGTCATAAAGTGCTGTCAGCCTTTTGAATACGCCTCAATGTGGCAGATACAAGGTATAGGGGCAGTTTACAACATACTGAGTAACATCAGGAGCGTTCAAATATCCTGAAACGGCATCAGATGTAAAGCACATTGTGGCCATGCTAATTTATAGCATTTAGCATGAATAAAATTTAATTCTATATCCAAGTTATCTTCAACCAGTGTATCTACCCACCATTTAAATGAGATGATCCTTTGGGACTGTTGAAAACTTTCAGCCAAGCTTTCTTTCTGATTCTATCAATGTCTGATTCTATTGTTGTTGATGTTGCACGACCCCATATCTATGTTCCTCTGTCCTACTATCTTATGTAAACTTAATCTCAACCGTGGTAGGATTAGCTCAGTTGGTAAAGTGCTTGACTGCAGAGTGGGAGGTCAGAAGTTCAATTCCCGGGGTCAGACCAATACTCAGGATCTTAAAATGACTGAGAAATGAAGGTATTACCTTTGCCCTGCTGCAAATGGCTAGACCTTTGCATGGCTCCCATGCATGACCACATAAAATGGTGGTAGTAGACGTGAAAATGGTGTCCCCAGTTATTAATTTCGTGCTGAATACATTCAAATTAAGTGCTTTCCTTTTTTTTCTGTTTTCATTTTTTATCTCGAACCACTTTCGCAGCAGTGGTCTTCCAGTGAGTCATAAGTTTAAAAAGAATATTACAAACAGCTGAATATAGCATGTAGCTGGCCCAGCCAATGGTACCATTATGGCATCAAATTAAGTGGAAAAAGGTCTTAAGTTGGTCTTGAAGTTGTTTCCCCAACCCATTCCCACAACAAGCTTTACAAGACAAGAAGTAGTTGTTATCAGGTTTAAAAAATTTCTGTTAACAAATTTCACAAGTGTTCAGAACTATGGCTTGTTAGGAAATCAATCTAATTTCCTTATAAAATCAATAAAGTTTTGTTTGATGAAATCTAAGAAATTCAATATTAAACATCACGGTTTCATATTTTTATTTTCATTTCAAGTTTTTTTCAGCTGAATTACATTTTCCTTTTGCTCCTGTATCCTTCGCATCCCCAGTGTCGTCTATTACATGCTCTCCTTTCATCCCCTTTAAAACTTTCTGAAAATTAATGTAAAGGAAGGTAAAAAAATAGACAATATATAATAAAAAAAACTTAACATTTGATGTACAATACCTTGCTCAGAAATTATGCCTGTCAGGCAGGTAAATTAAGATTAAGTGTCAACTATCCAAAATTTTCCCATCTCTAAAATTGCAACCTCCTTCAGAGTGATTTTACTTAACGCATGAAACAGGAAGTAGAATACTAAGTACTATTATGCACTAATTCTGTTGTCTTCTTTTGTTTATTTGTAGCTATATTTTGCACTAGTTGTTATTAAATGTTTCTTGGGTCAAGTAAAATCGCTCTAAGTGGCAATCATATAAAGGACTGAATGATAGTCATATCATTAAAAATCAGGTAAAACTAAGACACCCGAATATTACACGAGTTACTGGTGCTATTTTCAAAATAGACTATTAGAATGTTCTGCATGAACTGGGAACTGCAAGGTACAAGTTCAAGGTACTAGGTTACTATAAAGAGCAAAAAGCATATTCAAACAGCTGAAAATGGCATGTAGTGTTTTTTTTTTTTGGGCTTTTCGCGCGAAACCGTGTAAATGATTCTCGTGATTTTTTCCTACCAACGATTCGAACAACAAAGGCAAAATAAGCACACTATAGCCCTGTAACTAGGAAATCAACGCCCATTTTGTTCAATGAAAATGAAGCCTTTGATACTAGTGTACATACAGTGTACAGTGATCGTCCCATGCCCAACTACGAAGAAACTTTTTTCTAGCTTCGTGTAGCGAACAAGACTGTAAACAATATACTTAACTTACCAGTGTTTTTGGAAAACATGCCCGCCACATTTCGTTGCTATCTGTTGAAACGGTCCAAAGATGCTCGGAAGAGATGTATCAATCTCATGAGTCCGAAATATTCCGTGATCGTCGCAGAAAACAAAGGATTTTCGTCGAGAAATTATCTGGGACTTTTTGTCGTCGATCTGGGACATTTTTGCCATTTTTTGCCAGGCCTCCTCTGGTCACTCGGATAGCGCGAACTGGCCTGGGTACGAGGCTGGCGTGAGACTACTAATTTATGTGTAGAAACAATGAACAGTAGGCGACAAGAAAAGGGGAAACTAAGTCACGTGGTACATATTCGCGTTTGCCGTTTGACGTAAACGTGATGCTTAACCTCTCTTATGACTACAATTTCAGCTTCGTGCAGACCTTCTAATGAGTACTCAGATCCTGGAAATGTCCGACAAATGCGCCACTCGTGGGGGAGGGGGGTGATGGAGCCATTCTGTGGCTGAGTGTAACAATCATAACATTAAATTCTTACCCTTTAATAGGAGTTAAACTTTCCACTATTAAGTGACTAGCATCTAATAACTCTGCTGTTGAACATTCGGGAATCATACTGAATCCTTGTATATTTCGAATAGTGCTCAGTCCACGGAGCACCTAATCACCCGCTGTAAAACTTTTCACCTTGAATTTCCTTCCAGTTCAAGTTCATTTCTGATCTTAAACTATTTATCTGGTCAATATTCTCACAGATGACAGGATCGATAAGGTCACTAAATAGATCAT